CTTATGCACGTTTTCAAACCTGATATTACGCGTTCATTACCCGGCAAATGAAATTGTGTAAGCAATTAGTACTTGCTCATACACAGAAGAAATACATTGTAAGGAAACCGTCTAAAATCCGACGGCGCGTGTCAGGTAAAGACGGCATTACTTTTATAGCTGTATATTTAAATTTCGAAAAAGTAATTGTCGACGACGACTTATGGCCGAAAACAAATGGGCTTTCCAATTCGTAAAAGACCGGCAACGCACTTGCAAGCCACCTGGCAATTTGTGTGCGATGGTATCACTTAACATCAGGTGAGCCTATAGCCCGTGTGCCCCTGTTATAAAAAAAAGTTTTGTCTGTTAATTATTTTATATAAATATTTATTATAGTTATTTTTTAATTTAAATCTGTAAAATTTGTATGGAAGTAAAATTAACTTTGCTGCTTAAACATTTCAGTTTATAATTAGCGGTAGTAACCTAAATGGCATTAAACAGAAACATCCGAATGCTACCCCAATACATAGTTAATCAGTCCTCGATCTAAATCTGTACGAGAATCATATAAATATTATTATCGTAAAAGGTAATTTGGCTACTTTGAATTGAGGTTTGAATACTTCTTAAAGTTAAGGAATGTTAACTTAGCACCTTAAATGTTAATTGCTTTGAGATCTGTTTTGCTAAGTTGAAGTCATTTGAGTATTTAATATAATAAATAAAATTCTCGTGTCACAATGTTCGTTCCCATACTCCTCCGAAATGGCTCGACCGATTCTTATGAATTTTTTAATGCATTTTCAGTACGTCTGAGAATCGGCTACTATATATATTTCAAACCCCTAAATGATTAGGAGTGTCCACCCCAATAATTGTATTTTTATTTTTTAGATTTTTTTTTATTTTTTAATAATGTTCACATTTATATCCGTAAAAGGAGTTCTATTCAAAGGTGTTATTATGCAAGATACCCTAGTCATTTATTAAGTGAGTGCTCCTATTTCACCATGCCTCCTGCTGATATGTATTACTTAAGATGTCATGTGGAACATAGTGTAATGGTGCAGCTCCTTACAAACGTTGTGTAAAACAAAAAAAATGGCGATTAAAAAGAGTGGCGGAGAGTTTATTGCCAGTTCTTCTCTTCCGTTCTACGCCCTAGATTAGAGAACTTGAAGTAAATGTAAAATTAGAAGAATTTAAAGTATATTTCTTTATTAACGTTCATGAGTGTACATTGTGTTACCTATATGAATAAATGAGTTTTGACTTTGACTTTGATTCGATTTGAACTCGAGTTTCATTCTTATTCTTGTTCTTATAAATTCAATCGACAACCAATGACTTGCTTCGTTTAAATAATATTCAAAATAAACAACTTACACCAGGCATACAGGCACGTGTTAATGTTACACGTAAATTCCTTGGTAATATTATTATTGTAAATTGTTTTCCCAAAAATTGACTTTGCAGTTAAGATACAGAGATCTAATTTAATTTTGGAGAGTTTCGACTTCTCGGGGTTCGACTTAGGATGTTTTATATACAAGAAAGTAGTGATACCTACAATCCGAGGCTACTATCGCTTGTCATCATACCCTGAATCGCGCTATCAAAGTTATTCCGACTGCTAAGGCTATATATAACTCGACCTTAGCCTATGGCGCCTTCGGGCCAGTGAGTGTGGTTAGACCGGTCGAAGAACCTCGATTTAGATCGTAGGAAGAGCAGCACCTTTCTTCCTTCACAAGAAAATTACCTAAAGATGCGCAATTACAGTAGTTTTTTGGAAATCCGACCATTTCGCCGAGCTTATTACGAGTAGTTACCTTTATAATTAGAATAGCCAAAAGACTTACAAAACTACATCCTTTGGATTTATCGAAATCTAATAACTATTTATAAAATTTAGAAATCGCGAAAATGTTTTGGAACAATCATGTTATTTTAATTTGATTCTTTTAAGTCGATGACTTTAAATGTGATAGTAGTAGGAAAATAAATAAAAATGTTTAAATACTATTACGTCTGTAAAACCATTATTTGATTTACCTGCTTCTGAAATAATGATAGTGAAAGTCTGAGAATATTACCTTTTAAGACTTGTTATATTTTATTGTGTTTATATTGAAGCTAAAATCAATTTTCCATATAAAAATAGACAAAGGCGCTTCCGTTCATTTGTAAACAATTCAATATTTATCAAATAAAATGGAAAGCCATTTACAATTCAACAGGGAATTACATCATTGTCTATTTTAAAACGTTGAAACGTTAATATATTTTATAAAAAATCTATAATCGAGAGAAGAATGAAAGTGTAGATATATAAGCGACACAAGCGTATTTAAAACATAGAAGATACATAAATAAAATCTAGATAATGCAAAAAAAAATATCGAAATCTTTGAAATATTTTAATGAATAATCGTACTTCCCATTACAATCTATTTTCTACAAAATAAAAAAAAACTACATTTGATGACAAACTATTATAATTAAATAACATTTGAATTATTTTTGTTTTTTATAAAACAGAATATTAAACAAGTTCGTTTATCACCATCAAAACCAAGCTTTACAAAATATATTTAATAAACAATTTCATAAATTTATTTCCCTTTGAAACTGAATCAATCATAATAAAAAGAATGAAAACTCAATTCACTCGGGTTGGCCTGTCAATTTAACGAGAAAACTTGAAGTTTAGGGAAGGTGAAGTTTACCAAGAAATAATTTGGAACTAAAGTTACGCAAATATACCTGTATTATCTTGTTCGTTTCTTGATTTAATAAAAAAATAATCAGTGGCGCTACAACCTTTTTAGGTCTGGGCCTCAGATTTCTGTATCTGTTTCATGATCATTTGTCAACTAATAGGCAAGTAGGTGATCGGCCTTCTGTGCCTGACACACGCCGTAGACTTTTTGGGTCTAAGGCAAGCTGGTTTGCCCACGATGTTTTCCTTCACCTTCCGAGCGAATGTTAAATGCGCACATAGAAAGTTTGGTGCACAGTCGGAAATCGAACCTACGACCTTAGGATGAGAGTCGCACGCTGAAACCACTAGACGAACACTACTCTTGATTTAATAGGTTCGCAAATAATGTGTAGTTAAAAAATCTTTTTTATTTAGATATATGGATTATTTATAAAGATTTGGAACTCATCATAACATGAACAAGAAGCTATTGTACATAGATAGTTTAAGGTTTTTGTTAAGAGTTTTTATAGAAAACTGCTTTTATTATTAAGCATATTTTTAGTGTAAAGTTGATTAAATATAAACCTTTGAATGTCACAAACCGACTAATTATGCTGTATTGATATTATTCGTAAGTACATTTGTATGGGTTTGAAAACAATTGTTTTATTACTATGTGAAGTGATTTTTGTAAGATAGAGGGGCAAACGAGCCAACGGAACAGCCATAAAAGGTCGCTACCGCAGCCCATATACGCCCATGTTAGTGGAGGATTATACTTTTTTCGGATGCCCAATGCACACTAGACCAGAGGGCGTAGTAGCGTTGTCAATATTGAAAATGTATTAATTATAAAATTGTAAATAATATTAATTAAACTTGTGGGTAAAAGCTTACTTACACAAGACAAGACCCTTAATACCCGTACAGAGCATACCACATCATAGATTAATTCTCATAATTCCTTAGAACAATTCACACAACATTCTATGAATTCCGCCGCATAATATTGTTTAAGTCTTGGAGTTTAATTTGTCCGAATACATAAATTGGTAGATTTTACAGTTTTTCGTTATTAGTTTTATTTTGTGTTTAGTTTCATAAGCTGTACATAACGTTTTGAAACTGCTCACAGCACAGTTATATGCTGTGTCTCTGTCATTACTCTCCAATTTGAAGAAACCTTGAAATGTGAGGTAGTAGTCGATCCATGGATAAATCGTCAGATCTTAAATGACGCGAGGTCACTCCAAGAAGCTTGTAATCCACCCTGAAGATTTTTGAGCTATTGGAAGAAGTAAGTATACACTGTTAAGAGATGTAGTTTCATACAAATATATATTATTTTCTAAAGTTGGTTTATATAATGTATGTCCATCCTAATTGTTGACCTTACGCAATGTTGGCAATCCTAATAATGGTTTTAAAATTTAAATAACTCAATTTATTAAATATTAAAATCTGATAAACAATAAACTACAAGCTCCCACCTTTTCAGAATGCCAAATCATAAAATGACTGCTTCACGACTGATTTGAGAGCGACCGCCGATGCGAAAACCGCTGTGTGAGTTCGAAAAGTGAGTTACAGAATCGCAGGGCAGTTATAAAAATATAAGATTATTTTAATAGTTAAATATTTAACTAGATTTAAGATTAAGTCTTGCTTCCTATTCCAATAATTATTTTCATTATTACAAACCCATTAAAGATTTTAATAAGAAAGATACTATGTTTCCACTCCTCTAGTAATTGAATTTCCGACGTTCTCAAAGACACTGATGCAATTACTTTTATTACCTACGAAGTCTCAAGTAAGCCGTGTGGAGCGGAAAATTAGCTCGCTCGCTTTTTAATTTCTTAGTTGCTTTTAAACTTGTGATTTTTAAGCTTACGGCTTAGACCTAGGTATCAAAGATTCACTAATAAGAAGAACTAAATGATGAGGATTTTAAGACGTGATAATAATGCATCCTGTCTCTTTCTCATTTGTGCTACAGTTTCATAAAAAGGATTTAGTACTTATATACATAACAATAACTATATTATAATATTATGAAACGTTAGGAAAGCTATAAGACAGACTGATTATTGTATGATATTCAGCAAAAGCTCTAGCAAGACAAAGTTGAATCGGCTGTACAGCTCCAGATTATGAACTAATGGTTTTAGTGTCTTTCTGTATCAGTAACGAATCTCAGTATATCTTATGATACACATTTCCATTGTAAGGATAAATAAAAAACAATTTACTATAATTATTTATTGCTAGAAATTATATCTAAATTAGTACATCACGGTTCATTTGTTCAGGGTGCGTCGTCTCCTCGTAAAGGGAGATATTGGTTGCGTCTATTGTAGTAAGCTCTACGGTGATAAATAGGTTCACCCAAAGATCTTGATTGAGCCTGCTGTTGTGGTTGAGTCGGTGTTTCATGTCCTACTGGTATTGGAGTTACAGCATAACCCGCAGCTATCAAACCAGCAAATTCTTCGGGAGTATATGCTTTGTTGTTCTTTGGAGGAGGTAGCTGTGGCCTTTGCTCATCCTGATGCCCCTGTTGAAAATGAACCTGCTCTGAACTTGAAGCTTGTTCAATTCTGTGCGGTTGCTCTCTTAACTGCTCGGGCTTGGGCTGTTCATATCTTATCACTGGTCTGATTGTCTTCTTAGGAGCAATATTCTTGCTTACATAAATAGCCGAGAGGGGAGCTTTCGTTGCTTCGATAACTCGAGGTTGTTCCTTAGAGGTAACCTCATACCTTCGTCCTTCGTTCGGTCTATAAACTGATCGGTAGTAATATTGTTCAGGTTGTACTGGTCGCTGGATTGAAAGGCTTTCTTGGAGGGACTGTTCTACATTGGGATGACCTTTTTCTGGTTCTGGAAAGCGTTTCAGATATGCAATAGGTCTGTCGTTTAATACACGTGGTTGTTCTTGTCTAAATCTTGGAGTATCGAGGATTCTAAATTGTTTCGGTGTGTTTTCCTGTTGGTACTGTGGGGAGCGGTATGGGTTAAGATTTTGGAGGTTTGGAGCTGGAACTACTTTAAGGCCTTGGGTTTCCGGTCGTTCGTATGATGGTTGCTGAACGGCTTGCTGAGCCTGCAACGCTTGAGGTTGTAAAGTCACATAGCGGAGAGTCTGTGGGACACGTTGTTGAGGATGGTATTGCTGTTGAAGAGGTTGCTGTTGCTGTACGTTTGTCGTTTCAATCAGGTACTGTTGAGGCGCTATTGTTGGTTGGGGAGCGACGTGGATTTTAGGGCGAAGCTTTGTAGCCTTTTTGCTTGGTTTCGTAATGTATTGTTCGATCTAAAACAAAAGTAACCGAGTTAATATAATTTCTGATAGATTAACTTCCAGATAAAATTAATATGAATGCAAATAGAAATTACATTTTGATTGTTTACAAACACATTGCAACTTGTGTAATTATGAACCGAATCTGCTAAATAAAATAATATTGGTCTTAATGGTTATCTTTATCAATTTATTTTTACCTGTTGGTATTGAGGAGCCTGAGTCTGGACAGGTGGCGCCTGTGTCTGATAAGCCTGAGATCGAATGGGATGACCCAAAAGAGCCAAGAGATCCTGTCCATATGCCTCAGCTGAGTTGGAACCCGTGTCACTCACAGAAAGAGCAACACCTACGGATGCTTCTCCACCGTTGGTTGAATAGTTTGGTCTGGCAATCACTGCGTGTGATGGTGGCACCACCTGTTGTAGCTGCTGAAAAGTAATATTTTATGTAAATTTCAGATTTCTGAACAGAAGAACTACAATATATTGTTCTTAAAGAAGCGAAGCCGTGGTTTGTGTAGTATTCGTAACATAATATAGAACTATCCATATTATTAAGAAAAAACATGATGAGAATAAGAAAATTAGACAAGCAAAGAAACACAGACATAAGATCTGGAACAGGTGTGACAGACATTCTCACTAGGATAGACCAATGAAATGAAGATGGACGGGCGATATGCTACGGAGCTCCCATAAAAATGGAGCAAAATATTTACGGAATGGTAGGGACGAAAAACGCAAAAGATGCGTTTTTCAACTTCTAACAACAGTGGCAAAGGATAGAGAACTGTGGAAAGGGTTAGCGAAAGCCTTTGCCAAGAGGCACACCGACCTCCGAGATATACTTTAGTGAAAATATATTAAAGAATCACAGAGTTTCGGAAAATAAAGACTATATTTTTATTATATCAATATTATTATAGCACTAACCGAATAATTACTAATAAATAGGACGACATACCTGCCGCTGTGTTTGAGGGTCGACATAGTAAAACTGCTGCAGACTCTGCTTCTGATCTTGTTGTGGAACGTACAGTTGCTGCAGGTGCTGGCTAGTTGTAGGGGCTTTTCTCTCTGGTTGGAGGTCAATGAGTTCCTGAGCGTTAAGCGAGATTACTTGTCCTGGGCGATATCGTTCATCTCTGTTAGGAAAGTGAAAAACAATTAATACAAATGACGATCTAATAAGTTCAAAAGTCACACGTGTGGTTAATTTTTATAAATTATATTATTGGCAATTTTCTAATAATATAAACTTCTATTGTTGTACATGATCTTTATATATATAATATTAATCATAAATCAAGTAGATAAGCTAAAATTTGTTACATCAAACAAAATATTCCTATAATTGATTTAAGAAATTTAAAATTTTTCAATTTCAATTCAAATTTAAAGGGCATCTTTTTCAGTCAAGTTTTGCAAAAAAATCTAAAATTAAATAACATACTATAAGGTTAATAACCTCAATTAAGTAAGCATTTAACTGATGTTTTATTCTTTTCTTTTCCTCTCTAAATTGCCTATAAACATTTGAATCAACGCAGAAGGCACCCGACCGAGCCAATTACCCTTTCAGCAGCTGTTGGTGATTTGAAAAGCTTTAAGATACGAATTCAATCTAATATGAAATGTCGTGTTTAATGCTATTAATATGAATATATGTAATAACATTAAATTGTGTAGTTATTGACCGGTTTATTTTTAGTTGTTTTTTTTAGGGTTTTAAAACAGATGAAAACTATTCTTCACTAGCCAGATATCAATAAACTTATTAATGCTTAGTACGTCTCTTACCTTAAAGCTTTGTCTTCCTCCTGAGGTTCTTCTACAGGCGCGACTGGTTCCTGTAATTGTTTTCACTTTTAGTCAAATAATTCAAAAGTCTGTTTTAAAAGCGGTAAAAAGTTTCCAAGATTAATTATCTATTATTAATATAAATAATATTAATTAATTTGTACTGTTATAAATCTACAATTAGGAATGCACCATATTTTCGATTAGTAATGTCCAGATAATCTGAACCTGGAAGTAATTAACTAACAATCGTGGTTAATTGTCAAATTGCCCATGTGACAACATACTGTGTAGTAATAACATGAGCAACAGAGAAAGTGTAGGAAATGCCGCTGAACTCAACACGACATACACAATTGTTTATATTGCTGTAGAAAAATACATTTTACGAGGAAGCTTCATGTACAATTACAGTACTATATAATATATTTATTATAATAAAAGCTTTCACTATTTACCACATTTTTATATTTAATTAACGCTAATTCACACAAAAATTTTTGTTTCTTTATAGAAACTGTCCAGTCTTCATAAAATATATTTCGTTTAACCACCAGGCATCGTAACACTTACGGCGAGATTACAATCAAGACTTGAATCCCGTAAATAAAAACCCAATAGATTATTGATGTACGGAAATCATTCTTCGCGCTAAGTTTTGACTATGAATCTCAGGGTGAATGACCCCAGAAGGTTAGCTATTCCAACCCTGTATTTGGTTAAACGTTTTGAATAATGCAAGAGAGCAAATACTAATAACTGAATCGTAAATTACCCTGTTTAATATGTGTACCTAATTCAATTTTGCATGGTCTCAATAAATGATAATGTAGATGGCCCTAATGACTATAATTTTAAATTTGCCGTATTAGTACCGATTTGCTTTCTAATAATGTTTTAATAAACATGCAATGTTATGAAAACTTCTTTGCTTTTACAAAGAACTTCCATTTCTTCAACACTGATAATCCGAATTGTTCATATGAGTGAAGAACCTGATGCTTCTATAAATCGGATACTTAATTTCTTTGCTGAGTTGCGTCGTTCTTTATTTATTAATCAACTTACAGAAACATAAATAATCTTGATGGAATACATTATATAAATAATATAGAATATATTTTATCTCTAATATATTAAGTTCTCGTGTCACAATGTTCATTGCCATACTTCTCCGAAACGACCGATTCTTATGAAATTTTTTATGCATATTCAGTAAGTCTGAGAAACGGACTACATCTATTTTTCATCCCCCTAAATGTTAGGGGTGGTCCCACCCTACAATTTTTATTTTTATTTTTTAGTCAAAACTTTTTTTTATGATACAGCATACAAAAATACATACAACCCGTGATTTTCATTACTCTACGTTCAACCCCTATTTTTTATTATAGTAGATACTTATTTTTATTGAACTAAAAAAATGTTTCCTAGAAATAATATACATATCAAAACGACGTTTGCCGGGTCAGCTAGTAAGTATTATAAAAATTGGTTATTTTATTGATAATTTAATGAAAGCCTGTGTGAGGCCGTAAGGTGTTTATAGCCGTCATTCATTGAAAAAAAATATCAATGACATGCACGTATAGAATAATCGTAGATGTATGAAATTGTATGCGATCTACGTTTATTTTATCTATTTCCAATACTAAGTACTTAATAACTATACAACCGAACTTATAACTTTTCTCTCAAACATTTATGATAGTTGTAAATTGCAAATATGTACAAAGTTGTATATTTGAAAGGTTTTGTTTGTTCAGCCATAAAAGAGAAATATAATTTGTGATTTTAATGATCCGTAAAATAGTCTTTGTATATCATTCAAAGTTAAGAGTTATATCTTGTTGTGTATCTGTTTGTAACATTCACATAAAGACAGACGTAAACATGGCCTGGGTGATGCTTATATAACTTCAGGTTACAAATTATTTATTCTAGAGGTGTTTAAATACATTTGCTCCGTTCGTTAACATTGTATAACGGAAAATTGTATGCATAATAAAAAACATAAATACTTAAAAAAAAACGACGGGTTGCACTCCGGGAGTGCCGGCAGAAGTGAAAACTTGAATATAAATGTTGTGCATTTTTGATATTTTGGAATGTATATGGAATAATTTTGCACGAATTGCTTTAATTTATTATTTCAGTATAAAAGTACTATCATTTATGTGGTAGAATACAATATTTATTTATTGCGATATCGTACACAAACATGACATTTATTGCGATATCGTACACAAACATTTCATTAAATACGCTGCGCCAGCTGTCTACTCTCCATCCGTCTTACGAATTTTGTCCTGACGCGAGTTTAACATTTCTTACCCATTCCAAAAAAAGTGTACAACGCCGCTAAAGAAGTTTTCACTTCAAAAACTACAATTTATTTTCAGATATTTTAATAACATATTCTGGACCCACCTTTGCCAGTCTAATCGCTGCATGATTTCTTCTGCTGTATACTGAGAGCTCTAACGTCAAAATTTCATAGAATATTTAGCAAGAAAATACTTCTGATAACATTTTAAAAGTGTTTTTATATCTCTTAGAAGAGTAGCGGCCTTATTATAAAATGTGGACTATTTTTTGTTTAGACAGGTTTGTTACCATGGTTACAGTTATCTATGAAAATAATGGTTACCATGGTTACAGTTATCTATGAAAATAATGGTTACCATGGTTACATGTGTAGTCGTACGTTTATAATAATGCTCCGAGTGAGTAAACTCTCGAAATTGTACTTTTGTAAACAGATAAGTCATTTGAATGTGTATTGTTGTGTTACTGGTTACTGTTAATTATTTGCTGCTGGCTGTGCAAAGACAATTGAGATTGTACACAGAGCTTGCTAAAGACATAATACGCTTGTTCTGTCATACTTTTTAAGTAATTACAGGTAATTATTACGAAATAAGAGGACATTTCGTTGAGACACTCATTGTAACATTGGCAAATAAACAGTTACTTCGTGCCGTTCTAATGTCGATGTTGAAATTCGGTATCAAATTAGTTGAGAAATTCTAGGTATTCCTCGTTAGAAAACGTCATTAAACTAGCAAATTCAAATATGGAACGATGTGTCCATCTGTCAAATGTCAATCAATTTTAAATTACTCCTTTTGTGTTCTTTTATTGAATGAAATTATAATGTTAAGTTAGAGTCTTAATCCGTCTTGAGAAAGGCTTTTTCAATAGTCTTCCATGAGTGGTAATAACAATAGGTGGCACCTACCCGATTTAAGAATTATGTTTTAAACGCTTTGAATGAATTGACTATTAATTCAAAATAATTTTCATTATTTTATTTAATTGAGGAAAAAAACTAAAAATTCAATATTTAAGACTACATTTTTAAAATGCCTATTACGTATATTTGAAGAGTTAAGTAATATATTTAAAAAAATAATTAATGCAACAGGTGTTATCTTAGTAATACATATATATATGAGGCCAGTCCAAAACTTATATGGTGCTGTTTACAAAAAAAAAATTAATAAAGTTAAGTAAGACCCTTTCTTAAAGTTGTTTAATATGTATGATAATTTAAAAATGATGGTTTCCTTAATAATGAAACAGTGCATTGTCTATTTGTTCCGCTAATCACGTTATATGCAACGAATACATAATATGAGGTAATTGCACTATTTGCGATAATAAATTCGTTCAGGTAACGTGTGAAGTAATTAACTAAAAAAGATTAACTTCCCTGTATTAATTGCAAAAACAAATAAATTGCCAGCTTTCTTTCAAGTGAGCCAAGAACTGTTTTTATAATATATTTAATCGTAACCACACATTGAGGCTCATTACTTTAATATAATTCAAGTTTATGATTTTATAATACATTGAAATCGGGTCAGTATAGTGCTAAAATCGGATCGTTTTTGTTTTTGTTTAATGAGTCAATCATTGGGACCGATATCGTAGCTGGTTAGTAGCAAATGCTTTGTGGCACATATAAGTCAAAAAGCGGGAATTTAAAATGATGATGAAAATCAGAATTTTATCAGTAAATTCATTTATTATTTTCAAACATTGATTTAAAAAATATATATCGTAAATCATAATATTCATGTAACATGGCACACATATGATAGTATTGTGCCATATCTACTGCCAGTTATACAGTAATAAGCAAAAAGTAAAGTAATCTTATAATGACATTTACGATATCTGGATGGAATGTATTTGTAATAGGAAGGGACTGTGACGAAATCTGGGACGAAGTGAAAGGAGCTGAGTTACTCTGTAACACTTCTAAACTAAGTGGTATAATATGGTATTACTGTGCTTTAGATATGATTAAATAGGTTAAGGAAACAAATATTTTAATATTAAATTAATAGGATTAGGCGTAAAATCTGACGGCGTGAATCTTGAGTCTGTGTCAATCATATTTATCTTCCATAATATGTATGCCCGTTTGAAAGTGAGGTTGAGTTTCGAATATATTAAACATTTTAGATATATAATAATTAACTAAACATTAGGGGAGTCTAGGAAGTAACTAGGATTTGTGTGTGGAAAAGTATGTATTTTCATTTATCCGCTATGGACTCCTAAACTACCAAATCGATATCAATCAAATTTGCACACCGTGTGTAGTTTGATCTAACTTAAAAGATAGGATAACTTACATCTCAATTTGTACCGGCAATATTATTTTATTGGAAAATATTTGTTTATTATTTGATAGTCACAATTCTAACAGATGGCGCTGTGTTGAAAGTACCAACGTTTCACATAAGCTACAATTTAATGGCATAACCACCAAAAAAGCATTGTGGTCCCCGTGACTGGTGTTCTCCTACCGTTTCCCTTGAATAGATTACTACTATGTAGTATAACAAAAACCTTAGCCACAGAAACGCTTGGCCGAGTCTGCTAGTTTATTATATATTTTATACATATTTTGGAGATCTAATTGTAATAAATAAAACATTAAGCTCCGTCCTTGGATTTGTGTCGGGTCAGTTAACATAAATATAATAACTTTGTGAGGAAACATCAATGAGACAGAAATGTGTCAGTTCCATGACCAAAGGCAATGTGATATATTTGATTTATAAAGGTAAAGGGATAACTCGACACCACTTAGCTAAATTAAAATTAATGCGAGCTTAAAGCTTTGTCATGGGAATTATAATAATAATGGGTTGAATATGTATGTGTAATTAACGTAGGAACAGATTTTCTTCTAAAATATTGAGTGTTTTTAGGTGATAAATTAATGGAAATTGTACCATGCTAGTTTTGGCCAGATCGTGGTTATTTATCGAGATCATGTTTATATATTTATCTCATTTCTTAAAAGTGGATAAGTAATCTTTTTTTAAAATTAACAGAAAAAATCTATTAATAATTACTTCAGTTTTCATAATTTTAGTTTATTTTATCTTATTCAATTCCTTTACCTATAATCAATAGCGAGTCCCATATACCTAACACACGGTTATAATTCTTAAAGCAAATTTAGTTGCTCAACATTTTATAGTATTGCGATAAATAAATTTATTACATTACGAATTTTATGAACACTTCTTACGCGACACCAAATGATAATTAGTATTTTTACCGGATAAGCGTTTAATTAAATTTAACGCGACAATTTGTTCAATCATTATAGTTTAATTGTATAACCCTTGGCTTGTCATAAATGATGTGCTTTATTCCAGTTAACGTTCTTGTTATTTGTTTTTTAACGCAACTGCTTAAAAGGTTAAAATTTACGGTTAATTACGGTTACAGTGTGATATCAAAATAAAATTATAATCATTTAAAGGTAAAAGAGTATTAAATACCTGTTTCCTTGCATTTCTGTAGTAATATTGAAGTGAGCCGACATCTTGTGTTTGTCTTTTGTCCTTGGTTTGTTCGGCATCTTTAATTTTCTTTGTGTCTTCACAAGATGCGCTTAGAGCGAGAGCTGTAACAAATAGAAGACAACATTTAATCGAATATTCGTAATCATTAATAACATTGACAGCTCAAACCGTAGATTTATAACCGTAATTATTTAACCAGTAGTTTCTTTTCGGTTATATAATATTAGTATATTAATATCTCCATAGGATAAACAAAGAAGCCGCCATACGTATCAACGCGTATTGAACGAGAGATACTGTTAACCAATCACAAACAAACGAAACGAATCGTGTTGTCTTTTGTGTCACTCTTTATCGCGAACGAATATCACAAAGTCATCAATATCATTGCTTGTTTAAACAGTAATAAAAGGTTTTCCTACGATCTATATTACCATTGTATGTATTTTATTATTATATAGTTGTATCTTAATGGATTTGCATAAAATACACTGAGTACACACTGATATAGAGCTTATAATGATGAGTAATATGATCTGTTCTCTAAAGCTATTAAATAAATCCAGACAACTTCTAGTAAGGGTGTTCATTATTTATCGAATTCGTGTAGGTTGTAATGACGTCATTAGAGTTTTGTGTGTACAAAGCACAATTATATGAAGATTATAATTGTCCTCTTACTTTAATTAGTATTTTATTAATTATACTCTTAGGGTAAGATTCACAAAGACTTACCACGAACTATGACTCGTATGTCAAAAATGTATTGGACACTTAAAGCTAAATCTCGTTTCTGAGTTTTATATTAGATTCGAGACATAACATGAGCAATAAATCTTACTCCTGTTTATCAAATCCAATACATTTTTCATAATAAGCGAGTCTCGACTCTGATCTTTATATTATGTTTGTACATTAAAAAACATAATAGAATAGTGATGGCTAAAATTTCCGGTGTTTACGAACCGAAGATTAAATCGACTGTACGCTAAGCTGACCTTTGCAATAAGCTTAGATTAAGCGAAGGAAACTTTGTAAGTGAGGCAAACAAGGAATGGCTATTTCACTTTACTGAGGATTAAAGCCAAAAAGTGATTACTGTATACTAACTGATGCCTGACTTTGGATTAAGATTATATATGTTACACGATGAAAAAGCTTTTGAAATCCATCTAGTAGTGTTTGAGTTTAATAGAAACATATGTAATCTTTCGATATGCGATTCGATTACTGACGGAACAATAAACAAGGCGATATTTAATGTGACCTACTTGCATTTTTAGATAAATATGTTGATGCATTGAGAGACTACAGGACTCGACAAAAAAACCGTCCACAAGCTAACTTCTACTCCTCTTACTTCTTCAAGGCTCTTCTTCAGGTCCACACATGTGGTCCTTACGATGCGGCAACGCCTATTTCACCACAAAGTGGTCATCTCTTGACTCTCTTGGTTTTTCCCGAACCGGGTCTTCTTTTGAAACCGTTACCAAGTATTCTGGTAACGGTTTGGTCCGAGGTACTTAAGTTTGCGAATAAAGTTCTTCAAATCATTGCAGACGAGTGGGAACGTATTCCTCAAAACGTTATTTAAAACATCGTGGAAAGCAGAAGAAGAATTCAAGCTGTGATTTTGGCAAGAGGTTATACTCATTATTAAGTATTTGCATTTCTAACTTTATTTAATTTAAAAAAGGAAAACATCTTCTTGCCTTTATTGACAGCCGCTTCTTATTGTTTGGGCGTGTAAATCTGGGATTTAGAGAATTAATCATAAATTATTTAAAAAATGCCAGAATTCACATGCGTATTAATTTACACGATTATAAGTATACAGACTACGTCGGACAATAACTGAAATCACCCTTAGAACGTAATTTTCCATAGGTGCCCGTTTTTTTGCAACAGAGTTTACATATATAAATTAATTTAAATATAATATGTAATAATAAAATGAAATACGCTATTAATTTTCAATAGCTACAGCTCAATTTTCAGTTTAACGAATCGTTAACGCAATATTACTATCTCGTCGCTAAAACTAAAGTGCATTATAACTGAAATTCCGCCATTTACATGAAATAGTCCGAGAGATATGAGATCTGTTTCATTTCAGAATATATATTTTTATAATCATACAGTTAATTTCATCAATGACTTTACAATATTATTAGACAAAAATATTTTTTTAGATTAATATATGTATAACAAACTGGTGCCCGCGATTTCGTCTGCAAAGGAATAAAAAAAAATCTCCAAATGATGTAGCATGAAAGACATATTTTATCTACTTCAAATACCAGAAACGATAAAAGTATCTATTTTCATTTAGAAATCAATTAATTGCTACCAAATGTGCATTTGAAATAAAATATCAATTTTATCGTAGTCATGGTTCAATATTTAGAAATAATGGTTTACACATAAGACATAGATATATACTGTGGCGGATTTTTTGTAGGACTATTTAAGATAAACATTTCCATCATACATTACATATGTGTAACTCTAGCGGTTTTGGCAGCGCACGCCAAAATGGTATATTTTTTCTACTTACTTGATATTTTGGATAATTCACACAATGTCTTAATAAATTGTATCCTATATGTTATTCTGATGTATATGCTATATTCTTAATTTATATTAATAAATTCAAAGCCCTCGTTAAACGAAAATTAATCAATAGAGCATTATACATTTGAAGAATACTTAAATGATCCAAATGAGTTCAAACAATTCGTATGTTGTCATACTTGTCATACTTGGCGATTAAAAAGAGTGGCGGAAAGTTTCATGCCAGTTCTTCTTACCCGCTCTACGCCCTTGACTTGCGAACTGGTAGTAAATGTAAATTTACAATTAATTTAACTTCTTTCTGACATTCATAAGTGTACTTGTTTACCTACATGAATAAAGATATTTTGAGTTTGAGTTTATTGTAAAGTTTCATTAAAATCTATTCAGTCGTTTTTACGTGAAAGAGTAACAAATATCCATCCATACTTACAAATTTTCGCGTATATAATATTAGTAGGATGTGTACCTAGTAATGTTTGTATAAATAGTGCAAATGGCAGTTTGTGGGCTCTAAGCACAGTTGTCCTACAATAAATATTTGCAGCAAACCTAAAGCCAGTGAGATATATGATGAGAATTGTACCGCGACATGAATCATTTGCCAAGATGTGGGTAAATTTTCTTGCAGGTAAATAATTTAAAAGAGCTTGTGTTGGCTCATCCCTAAGGTCATAGATTCACTTTCTGTGCACGTATGGACTTTTTGTCTATGTGCGCATTTAACAGTCGCTCGTACGGTGTAAGAAAATATCGATGAAACCAGCATACCTTAGACCCAAGTAGTCGGTTGTGTGTCAGGCACAAAAGGCTGACATTGTCCTTCATGGTCACGAAACAGATACTAAGGCCAAGAGTCTAAGGGTTATAGTGCTTTTTTTGGTATGACATAAAAACTGTCTGTAAACTTCTAATTGTCATGCATTATTTAATAATAACTTCTCTTATTTAATTGCTGTCTAATTATTAACCCTCTTCAAGGAGGAAATAAAATTATACGCTCAGAAGTACAAGACTAGGCTGGGAAATCATCCTAGCTGTTCAACTCACCCTACCGGAGTATATAAACCGTCTCAAAAGTACCCTGGAGCTCAGCAGCATTGACTGAGCTTATATTATTATGGTAGATATTCCTAATGAGAAATATCTACCCGCAAATCATCCTACAACTCATCTGCTCATAATCAGAAGACTGACTGCACGATGCGATCTTATAAAAAAAAATATGAATCCTCTGGATTCAGTGTCGAGACTTAGCCTTGACTCCCGTTTGTCACTAACTTATTGGATTTGACATACTAGAGTCATACTTAGCGCTACACATACACTCAACATGATTTATAATTTCAATAAGAGAAAACAGAAGAAAGAATATTGTCAAAGCGCTTCATAAAAGAAGACACTGAAACTACGGAAGTAAGACGTACAGTCCATCTCGATTTTTACTAAAGTACTGGTTACTGTAGTTAATGTATAGATTTCTTTTAACAACAAACTTTCCGATGTATTTTCCCACGACTTGAATGCATCCATATGACCTGCTTAAAGTGCAATGTCGTAATGCAAATAAGATTTACGATAAACTGCTTTTTGTTTTGGCCTTGAGATGTGTACTGTACTTCTTTTCATTAAAATTCATGAAGTCCACAATTTTTACTAAAGCGCATAAATTTTCATTCAATTGTGTATTTAATTATTTAAATTTGTTATAATTAAAGTTTATTATTATAATTAAAATAGTATGATTTAAGTATGTCTTATCAATTAATAAGGCGTTCATATGTTTTGGCTAGATTGTTTTGCAATATAAATGCTCTTTAACAATAATCGTTGCAATAACCTAATGTATTCGGAGTAAACCCTAAAATAAACCCTAATGTGTTCGGAGGGACTTAATTTTGTCATATACGGAGATAAGGTGATTAACAAGCAATAACAACATATTTTATAAAAAATTTAACCACGTCCAAATTATGCTGTAATATCATTGCCAGTCATTTCTACTATACTAGATAGGGTTTATAAACAAAACGATTAAAGTAACAAGAATCTTATAGAAACTTAATAAATGCATTAATTATGAATATTTTATTTAAATGTGTACTAAAGTCTACAAGCAGTCTTGGCCTGAAGGCTTAAGTGCGAGGCTCTCAACCTTGAGTTCGTGCGTCCTGCGCTGTACTAAACTTTTACCTTTATACACTAACTCAAGCGCTGAAGGAGAACATTGTGAGAACCAAAAGTGGTCGGGAGAGAACAAAACTAACATACCTAAGACCCAAAAACAACCGCGTCTGTCAGGCACAAAAGGCTCAATATGTACCGAAAAAAAATACCGAAAGTTGAGGCCAAGACAAGGTTATTAGCGCTACTGATTTTTGATAATGAATGTTATATTTATAGAGGGTGAGAGTACCATAAGAAAGATAACATAACAGTGTTATTGTGTCATGGTTAAACGCCGAGGTTAGTAAGGGCCAAAGCGCGATCTCTAAAGGGCCTGTATTATGCTGTTGTTCATGGACGAACCGGAGTGCACGTGGTAGGTAAGTTCGCGTATCTAAAATGGTTATCCAAAAATGGTAGAATTTCTAATATTTTTGTCTGACAAAAGCAGGACATTTAATATAGGTGTCAGACTCTCAAGCTAAATGTAGTTATCTCGCCGCATATTTGATTACTTTCTCGATGCAATCAACAAACTCGATTTATGTTGCTTTTCAATGACATCAAACAAACGACCAGTATTCGAAAAAGGAATAAACGTTTTCTTTTTCTTATTACTGATGACCCGATGAACTTCGTATCATCTACATATATTTGTGTCAAACCTTAATACAGCATTTTTTAAACAGAGATACTACAGCTGAAACACAAATTTCTGAAAGCAACTATAAATATATGACCAGCAAGTGACATGTTTATAATTTCAAAAAAGATAAAAAACATAAAACATTATCCAACTAGAAGCAGTTTTTATTGGAAAATTCAATTGTCGTGTTTAGTTTATTTATTTATTTATGTTTCTCCTCGTTATCGTAATTTTTAACTCGCATTGTCTTGTTCGATTTCGCGCCTAAATCATTTTACATAATATATCATTTCTTATGTTACATTCTATATACAAACACGTCTGAAAACACAATTTGTATTTTTTTTTAAAGTATGTATTATGACCTTTTTTATAATAATCATGTAGTCAGTATTCTTGAAGGAATTGCTTAGTTTGCCGCGCTTTGAACCACATATTTACTGTGTGTTTTATTCTGCGTAGTGTCAAACCATATTTTTGTTTTATTCAAGCAATTACATACTTAGATTGTGTAGAAAATAATTTAATTTTAAACGTTAAGAGTTGTTTAGCTTTCTAGACAGAAACGTAACAAACTGTTTAGAAATTTTAAAAAATAGATCGCAATTCTGATTTTTCTTTAATTGTATAATATTGGCTTTTCCTTAAATAAACTTTCAAAGACCGCATGGACGCGGTCGACGCCGAAAGTCGAAAGTATTGCGTGCCGCAAAACTAACATTTCCTTATCATTTCGACACAATAAGTCAGCGATAACAAACCTTTGGCACGCACTACTTTTAATGTTCATATTAGTATCGCTCTAAATAGCATATGCATCGCCACGGCTGTTAATTTAGCTTATTTATCATATTTATCACACATAAATATAATTTGGTTCACAGAATAAATAAAAAGAAAGATTTAAATACTTGTCGTTAATTTTCTTATACTGAATTGGATACAATAAAGCCCTTTTTCTTCTTCCCTTTACTATAATTACTTTATAATTTGCTTCTTTATTTCCCGATTATTAAAGCCCCAGTAATAAATATCACAAATAATCTAACATCGTCTATGTAAATTCGACACACAACGAAACAATATTAAAAGGTTGGCAGCAACTGGTAAATAAATGGCCAATTATGCGGCTACATGAGATTCGGTACGCGATGTCAATGTGAAGGTCATGATAATTTCACTTGGCCGTTCGCGTTTTTGTGTTACGGAGTCACAGTTTTTGTTATATTTGAAGTATATTATATTTAAATTTAGAATCTGTTCCCCTCTGTGTTCAATGCTCTCATAAGGCGGGAAATGAGTTTCTATGACAATTGCCTTCCACAGAACACTGTTAGCTTGTGTTGTGTGACTTTTTTAATGAAGTAGAGTATATAACATTATAGATCAATTTTATTTTATTTTTCTATAAATATACAATAACATTGTGTGTGTGCTTGTGTGAATAAATTTTGTATTCGTTTTCCATTTTTGTCCGTGAACCGAATATATCAGTATTGGTATCTTCTCATGGAGCCCACTACAACAACTGAGTGGCTTTCTTTGAAGCTTTTCGTGCTATATTTAGAAAAAAATATTTTATTTTTTCTGACCGATCACATTTTCTTTCTTTCAAAAGTATAAAATTGCCTTCCTGTTTTGCACGTATTACGTTAGATATTTTTTACATCTTATGTATATCTTATGCAGCTGTGGTCAGAGAGACATGTTATGTAAATAGTATATAGAAGATATTTTATTTGAACATATAGTACTCGTAGTCTGTGCTACAATTAATAAAAAAAATTAGAAACGCATGAGACAAGAGTATACTCACAATTTGTAAAGAAATGCTTATTATTCAAAGATAAGACAGCCTTGAGACAAAAATAATCAGAATATCTTATAAAACTTTTTGGCAAACTCTGGAATGAAGTCAATGTCAATAATATAATTTATACAAGAACAATCTGAAATAATAATGAAAACTAAGATTTAAATATACTTTCTTGTAAAAGATAACATACATAATTTATTGTTAGCTATATTATCAGTTTTTAAGCAAAGACAATCTATACTAATGTTATAGATGAAAGAAACTTTGTGAGGTCGGTCGTAATCTTTGGATTCACTGAACCGAATTTGAAATTTATTTTACTAATAGAATGCCACGTTATAAGTTACTGTCATAGACTTTATTAACCCGAAAAATTAAGTATTTCGTTGTAGTCTGATATGCAAAGTGAGGCAGAGTGAAAACGATCCAACGACAACTTTTCTGACGATCGCTGCCTTAACGATGAGAGATATATGATTGAGTTCTAGAGCTTAATAATGCCTACAAAAATAGTCATAGACTTTAATATTATATAAAAGCAATTCCTCCGCCTTTCTAGTCTTAGTGTATCTGTCTGTCTGTTCGCGATATACTCAACAACTACTGCACGGAACATTGCCCGCGTTTGTGACCCTTAGTTGGAATGATCCAGTGGGAAGAAATAAGAGAGGACGCCTACGAGAATCCTGGGATAAAAAAGTTGCGGAAAGGATTGTAAAATGGTGGCGAAGGTGAGGGACAAGTGGAGGAACTTGGCTAGGCCTTCAATTTCCTGGAGGTCGTGTACTAATGTGAAACATAATTACATGGACTTAATGTAATCCAGATTATGTAGTACTAGAATGCAGTTTTTTTTTATTTGCACGGAATTTATTGCGGCTCACCAATATCAAGAATGATTCATACAAAAAGGTATATATTTTGTCAATGGTCACGGTTGCCCATGCGAAAGACGCTAGAGATATACAAAATTTATATGGGACCAATCGAAAATAGTTTTACGCAAGTCACTGTCCTAATTTGTAAGCTTCAATTGATTTTCGAATGTCAACGACCGATTTGAGACTTGCAAATCACAACTTCCGTATAACTTTGAACTTTCCATTGTGAAGTGTTTTGGCAAATTGAATTAGATTCACTGGTTTAAGATCTTTGGAGAAGCGGAACTTTCAATAAGGTCGTTTTGGATTTAAATTATAATTAGGTTCTGCGTAATAATATGCCTATTAGCCTAAAATGTTTACTTTCAATGAATGTTATTTATGAATATGACTTGAAGAATTCTTATATTGATTTCACCTTTTTTATACTTTAGTGGAACAAAAGTGTTTGATTTTTAATGAGACAGCTTTTTTTAAACCCAGAAAAATCTTTATAAAATTTCACAGAGAAACACATAATTCCCCGTATTCTTCTAATTCCTCGGATGAATACCATTAAAAGTAGTTTACGACCTCTCAGACTAATCGAATGTACAAGAAAACACCTTAAAAATTGGACAAAGCCTTTAATTATATATATTACTCAAACAAAATGTGAAAAAAGAACTTTCTCGTTTCGTAATGATCAATTTATGATTTCGTCATATTTTTAAAATTGCCATAAACAAAACTGTTATTATTTAGCCTAGCGTATAAACAGAGAAAGTGTCATTGCGGTCAAGTGAAAGACAATTATATGTCCAATTTATATAACAAACGACCGAATGTGGGAAAATTACAGTCTGCGCGCACCTGGCTGGAAAAAATCTATTTTAAATTATGAAAAGAGACAAAACTGGCACATTTTCCATGCATTGGTTATATAAGAACTCAGGCCATATATATAATAATGGTATATAAGTATCTTCTACATAATATAAAACGAGGTTTTTACTTTACGTTCCTTCAAAGCCTGTGGTGAATGAATTTTATTTCAAAAACCTTCGTACCGTATAAAACGAAGTCGTATTAATCTTGCCTGATCGGAGCACATTTCTCAAGAGCCCGCGTAGGCATAAAAGAAAATTGCTGCGTAATATCGATGCAATAATAGGGAGTCTGATAACATCTCATTAGTGGAGATAAGATGAATCACTCAAGCGTGGTAGTGCTATGCTAGTAGAGATAAGAGTAATTATTTGAAAAAAGAAATCCACTCTAGTCCAAAATTAATGACATAAGATATACAGTGTAAATTCTATATAACGACACTCAAGGGACTGTGCCTATTTCGACGTTACAAATAGTTTCCGTTAAATGGAAAGAAAAATCCGTATTAGAAAAAGAAAGTTTATTTCAGACTAGTGTTAGTAATTACATAAAAACAATTCGTATTTGAACGCTATTGCGTTGTCTGTTATTTTTGTACGGTACCAGTAGTTAGGTTGTATTTTTTTACTTATTTAATTCATTCATTCGTGATAAAGCACATGCAAGCATGCGCAATTTGTAAAGAAAAAGAACGGATTTCTTGGAAAGTTCGGTAGGTATAACTAGTACCGACAGTCGAGTTTATTTCTCGCTAGGACAATAAAGCGACAAAACAACGTACACAGCTCCACAGTTTTAACAAATTTCGGCAACTTAAAAAGTACTTTTTAGTATTTAATTGTTGTCGTAATTGAGGGTGGGTATAATGCTATGTAGAGTGTATCATTGTA